TTAAGTACAGCTTGCATAGTAAGAATGGTTTTTAATTTTTAAAGAGTTGTATTAAAAAAGACAAAAGAAAATATTCTGCATAGACTGTATGTGGCTCCCAAAGCCTAGAATATTTACTCTCTAGCTCTTTACTGAAAAAATTTCCTGACTCCTAAACTGGATAGATCTGAGGGAATTTCTAGAAGGTAGCACAAAGGACAAAGAGAGAAAATATAAAAAATATAAAAGAGAGGTTTAAAGACATGGAGAATGGAATGAGGAGGTCTGACATACGTCTAGTCATCTAATAGGAGTTTAAGAAGGAGAGAATGAGGGACAGTCAATATTCAAAGAAATAATGGCTGAGAATTTTCTAGGTTAGTGAAAGACATTAATCTTAAGAATTGGAAAGTTCAGTGAGTATTGAGCATTCCTAAAATTCCACATGTAGATATATGCGGAACTCAAAGATGAAAAGATCTTAAATACAACCAGAATGAAAGGTCAGATTATCCACATGATACGACAATTAGATTGATGTTTCTCTTCTTAACAGCAACGATGGAATCCAGAGGATTCTTCATTGTTGGTGGAAAAGAATTGTTAACCTAGAATTATATATCCAGCTAGATCATTATTCAAGATTTAGGGTGAAATAAAGTGTTTTCACATAAAAACAGAGTTTACCACCAAGAGACTCTTACTGAAGGAACTACTTAAGGAAAAAGGAAACAACCAGAGGAAGGAATGAAATACAAAAAGAAATGGAATTCTGAGTAAGGAAATTGGAAAATATGTGGGTGAATCTAAATAAGCATGAATTCTATTAATAATAATAAGGGAAAATATTGAGAGCATAAAAACAAGGTGGAGCTAAAATATCCATCAATAATGACATAAAAGTCAAGAGATAGGTCATCAGAGATAAAGATCTTTTATTAATTGAGAAGAGGGAGGAAATATCAGAGATAATGTTAAACTTGCGACTTACATCAAGAATGCATGTTACATGTTACGGATAACCACTGAAGAAGATAAATTGAATATGTGACTTCCAGACTGGTACAGGGTTAAAAAAAAAAAATGGTATAAAAAACTTGATCAGCTGCACAGAAGTCAGGAAAGAGGTGAGGAGCATAGAAAAAAAAAAGATCAAAAGCACAAAATAAGATTGTTAGAAGTAAATCTTAATGTATAACAATAAGTGTAAGTGGATCAAATGCTATAGTTTAAAGACAAAGATTGTTATATTGGATTTTTATTAAAAAAATCATGTTCTTAAATATTTATAAGAGGTACATAAAACACAAGGATATGGAATGTTTGCTAGAAAAAGAATGGAAAAAGTTAAAGTAGGCAAATATTAACTAAGAGCTGAGTGGCTGAAAAGGTGGAAGCAACCAAGTGTCCATCAACAGATGAATGGATAAACAAAATGGTGGTATGTACATGCAATGGAATATTATTCGGCCATAAAAAGGAATGAAGTTCTGCTACCTGCTACAACATAGATGGACCTTGAAACATTATAAATCAGCCAGTCACATAAGGACAAGTATTGTATGATTGAATATCTAGAGACAGAAAGTAAATTAGAGGTTACCAGGGGCTGGAGGGAGAGGGAAATGGAGAGTTACTGCTTACTGGTTAGAGTTTCTGTTTGGGATGATGAAAAAGTTTTGGAAATAGTGATGATGGTTGTACAACATAGTGAATGTAATTAATGCTGCTGAGTTGTACTCCTAAAAGTGGTTAAGATGGCAAGTTTTATGTTATATGTATTTTACCACAATAAAATTTTTTTAAAAAGCTGAGTGACTGATATTAATATTAACCAGAGTAAACTTTAAGGCAAAAAGTATTTGTAGAGATAGTGAAGTTCTCTACATAATTATATTTACTCTGCCTGACAGAAAAAATATACCATCTCTTGGGACAATTTTATTTACTCCAGTGTCTATGGTTCTTTTAAACACAATATCTAGCACACAATAAAAAGTTATAAGATTGCGAAGAAGCAGATAAATATGACCCATGATCAAGAGCAAAAAAATAATAAATAGAATCAAATCCAGAGGTGGCCCAGATGTTGGAATTAGCAGATAAGGAATTTAATTCTTATAAATATGCTAAAGAAAATGGAGGAAAAGATGGAAAAAATGAATAGGTGGAGAATTTCAGTAGAGAGATGGAACCTCTTAAAAAGGCCTAATGGCCGTTCTAGAACTGAAAAATATAATGCCTGAAATTAAGAATTTATTGGATGGAATTAACAGTAGACTAGATATAGCAAAAGAATGGTTTGGTGAACTCAAAGATAGGTCCATTGAAATTATTCAAACTGAAGCACTATTAGATGAAATAAAAAATATTAATTTAGAGTAATACACAGGATAAATTGATGGGGAATGTGAGATTAGGCATTATGATTTGTTATGGTCCAGTACTAGGGTGAAGGCAGTAGAATAAAAGGAAGGGATACATATAAATATTATTGTAAATTATTATTATTATTATAAATATATTACCATAATTATTATTATTATAAAAAAGAATGGATACAGTTTGGCACAAGATCTGATGTGGATGTTTAAGCAGTTAGAGGAATTAAAAATAACTCTAAGACTTGTAGCCAGTAGCCTGCTGTATGCCAGATGCTGTGCAGGGTATTTTTTATTCAGTATCTCTAATTTTTGTAACAATCCTGAACATGAGTGTTGTTACCTTTATACCGATGAAAAAAAGCGTGGCTCAGAATGGTTAAGTGACCATCTAATAGCTTATAAAGCTGGGATTTGATCCAGATCTAGCTGTACTGTCCTGTATATCACACTGTTTCTAGCTTGTAAGACTGGACGAATGTAGTATCATGGGCAGAAGTGACAGTTATTAGAAAGAGGAAGTATTTGGAATCCTGAAGTGACCATGATATACCCTATGAGAGGTAATCCCCTGGGAGTTGGAAATACTGATCTACTAGTGCAAAGCAGAAAGGCTAGGGTTGGACTAGTAGCTTTGGGGGTTAAAGCCATTTTAGTGGATGGATTCATTACCAGATTATGTTGAAAACCTTGGGGAGCATTTTCTATGAGGTAGGAGGAAGACTGGGTACCAGCAAAGTAGAAAGGGAGAATAAGTCAGGGAAATAGGTGGAATACCAGAAAGCATGGTTTCATGGGAAATCAAGGGAAAAGCTGAGAATTTGTAGAATGAGGAAGTGATCAGTGATATAATTAGTTTAATTAACAGATATTTATAGAACACTTACAGTGTGCCAGACACTTTGCTGAGTACTGGTGATATAGCAGTGATCCAAGAAAGGTTCCTATCCTCAAGGATCAGGTTTTGTCGGGGAAGCTAAGTAATAAATAAATAAATGAAAAAATACTATGAAGGAAATCAATAGGTCAGTGCCAGGAAGTGTCAGGGGGTAAGAAAGGCTACTTTAAATGGGACTATCATGAAAGTTAAGATCTGAAAGATGAGAAAGAGCCACCTGGAGAAAAGCCTGGGGAAGAGCATTTGAGACTAAAAGAACAGCAAGTGTAAAGGTTCTGAGGCAGTAAAGAGCTTGGTGTAGTTGAGGAGTTGAAAGGAGGCCAGTGTAGCTAAAGTGGAGTGAGCAAAAACAGTGACGGCAAATGAGATTAGAAAGCTGGTGAGGAGCTAGTTATGAAGCGCCTGGCAGTACAATGGGAAGCCATTGAAAATTTTTAAGGAGGGGAGAGACATGGTCTAATTCATGTTTTAAAAAGATGATTCTGGGGCCAGCCTAGTGGCACAAGCGGTTAAGTGCGTGCGCTCCGCTTCAGCGGCCCGGGGTTCGCAGGTTCGGATCCTGGGCACGCACTGATGCACTGCTTGGTAAGCCATGCTGTGGCAGCGTCCCATGTAAAGTAGAGGAAGGTGGGCACGGATGTTAGCTCAGGGCCACTCTTCTTCAAGAAAAAATGGGAGGATTGGCACCGGATGTTAGCTCAGGGCTAGTCCTCGTCACACACACACAAAAAAGATGATTCTGGTTGCTGTGTGTAGAATGCATTGTAGGGGCAGGCTGACAAATTAGTCATTCAATCCTGTGGCAGATGACTGAGAATTAATAAGGCAGGTATATTGTATTTGGAGTAAAAATCTCTGGAGATTGCTCCTTGTGAATGTTTGAGTGGCATTTATTTCTAGATCCTGGTACCTTCATTGTCATTTTCCAGAGAATGACAGAAGAGATTCTGAGGGTTTTCTTTTTTGTGTGTGTGCTTGAAATAATTTAATTAGCTGTTTAGGAAAGAAAGTTCATGATGTTGGACATTGGTGACACTTTTGCTTTCTTCCAGTAAAAGAGATGGAACTTGATGGGGATACGTTTTTCTGAATCATTGTTGAATTATTAGTTTCCATGAGAATATTTGTTTCTGTTCCCAACTCTGTTCACATATAAGTTGGTAGCACTAGCAATATTAGATTAAGTATAGTCAGTCTCCAGATGACTTTTTAAAAACATTTGTTTAGCCTCTGTGTCATATATTTTTGAGTTTTTAATAAGAAAAGTTTCAAACATATATAAAAACAAAGAACATAGTATAATAAACGCTCATGTATCCCCATCATTCAGTGTCAACAACAGTTAGCTCATGGCTAATCTTCTTTCATCTATACCTCCAAATACTGCTCACCACTCTCATTCTGTTTATTTTTAAGCAAATTCCAAATAAGTTGTTTCCTCTTTAAATATCTACATTTTAGTGTTTTGGTTTATTCTGTCTTAGAGCACATAAATAGGTAACCATATATCTGGATGGTTTTCCTTCGCCAGTACCTTCGAGTTTATGTCTGTTGTCCCAGTGTGTTTATTAATAGTACCTCTTTTCACTTAAAAGAGTGTCTGTGTTTGGACATTAAATTCTGTTGTCACCTTATAGACATAAGGGAAGCCTTTTCCTAGTGGACAGTAAATAATTTCTTTAATAGCACCTTCAGTTTTGAATATTTTTCTAATAGCGCGTCACTTTTCTGTTTTCTATCAGGAGAGCAAGCCATGGAGTTCACTATTTCAAGAATTGTATACTGAAGTATAAAGCGGCGTGAGTCAGAGAAAGGAAGGATCCTGAAACATATGGTAAGGAGGGAATGAATCAGCTGGATTGCCTTGATTATGCCTTCCTTTTTTTGCTCCACTCCATTCTTTCTTTGTTATGATTCAATCGTAAGTACAGAGAATATTCTTTTGAAAACAAAAAGAGAGATTTTAACATTTGAGTTAATAGGATAATGCTTTAGAAATATTAACCTACATTCTTTGGGATGTTTGGTCAGCTGTTAATTATCAAAGTTTAGATCATCCAAATTTAGGCTTTTCCACGATTGATATTTTTTGCTTTTTGTTGTCCTTATCTCTTGCTCTACTTACTCAAGCTTTTTCAGGACACTGTCGTCAACTTTTTATTTTATTTAAAGGGAGAGAAGACTCTATCAAACCTTTAACAATTGTATGTCTTTGACAAAAGTAGAAGCTAGAGACAGTGAATGAGCATCTGTGAAGTACTACTTATTTTGTACTGCCTTGTAGTGGTACCCTTGCTGTTTATTTATATCTTATCTCTTTGGCTAAAGGAAATTCCATATGAGGTCAAGGATTATTTTACATTCTACATTCTCCCACTTAGCATGTCTTAGGCATGTTAAGAGTATGGTAAATACTTTTTGAAGGAAATGAATGAAAGAAATTGAGATTACTCTTTGGCACAGAATATTATGAATTCAATTCTGGATATGTTGAGTTTTAGGTGAAAGCCAAGTGAAAAGCTTTTGTAGTCTGTGATAGTAAAGTGTGGTAAGAGAACAGGACTGGGAATGTTGTTTCAAGATTTATTAGCCTAAAGTACCCTCACATCCTCTATCCTTTATTTTCATAGCAACAAAATTTATTGTTATCTCCATGCACTTATCTCCGTTTTGGGAGATTAGGAATCTGAGGCGTAAGGTCTGATAGCAAATCTGTCTTCAAAGGATAAGAAATAATGCCCCTCATTTCTAAGTATAGTGTTCTTTCTAAAAGACCAAGTTACTATTTATATTTTAAGAAGGAGCACATGATGTCTGCTAACAGAAGATAAATGAGAAGCAAACTGGGAAATACATTTTGTCTCTGGATTACTGCCTCTACTACTGGGTAAAAATCAAAAGAGTTCTCTTCAACTCTTTTCAACACTGAATATAACAAATTGAGCTTCTCACAGATTCTTTTTGTTTTTAAGTAGTTCAAAAGGAGACTTTCATGTTAGGAATGAACATAGCTATTAAGGCTGGATAGGAAGGTGTTTCTCTTCCTCTAAAGATGATGCCTAAATATGGAATAAAAATAGTTGCAAACATCTTTGCCCTCTGTTAAATGTAGTTGATCATCATTTTGTAGGGTTCTAATGCTGCTCTATATCCAGTTAAATAGGAAGAAGGTGTGTGTGTGTGTGTGTGTGTGTGTAAAAACTGAAGCTGTTTTTGGACACTTATCCATTTCTTATTAAGCACAAGTCAAATATCCATACCAGACAAAACCTACATAGGACTTGAAATGTTCTGTGAGACACACATCAATGTTCCAACCATTGTTCCATCTTATAAGATTTAAGCATTTTCTAGAAATGTACTAGGGGAGGGCAGGGTTGTTAAACATAATCTCTTCAAGACTGACATGGTTCTCTTTCTTTTGCAGACCTGATTGTTGGCAATGACATCGTTAAGAGGCTGGCATTCATTTCTGTTTTAACCATCTACTTTATAACTGTGGATAGTAACTATGCATATTTGTGGGTCAGCAAAACCAAGGAACAAGAGCTATGGCAGTTGAAAAAGTCTGTCTAATTCCAGGGTATTTTTCCTGGGTTTCATCATCAGGGACCTCCTCCCTTTCATCTCATCAGCAATGTGGTACCTTCTACTGTTTGATAAAGATTAAAGACATGTTCTTTGGTCAACAACCAGAACTTAAAATCTGCTGGAATAGGGTCAGAGACCATTTCAATTACAGCTGAGGAAAATGAAATTTCCATTCTATTTGGTGCCTTGTGCAGGGAGCACACTAACTGTTACGGAAACGTGTGAGTGAAAAGAGATTGAGTTTTGTCTAACAGAAACTCATGGTTATGGCGAGTGACCCAACGTGATCAGAGGGGGCAAGAACCACAGAGGAACTCATGACGGGCTATACCATGTTGCGGAATGGGGGAGTGGGGAATGGAGGTCAAACCTGTATGTTACGATGGTCCAACCGTATCCGACTCACATGGCTCAGTTTTACGCTCTTCATCATTCTGGTTTTCTTCCCCCTCATTGCTCACTATTATCTCACCACTCTGGATGAGGCCGATGAGGCAGGCAAGCGGATTTTTGGCCCACGGGCTGGTAATGAGCTATGCGAAGTAAAGCATGTGCTGGATCTTTGCCGAATTCGAGAGTCTGTAAGTGAAGAGCTCTTGCAACTGGAAGCCAAGCGGCAAGAGCTGAACAGTGAAATTGCCAAGCTGAATCTGAAGATTGAAGCCTGTAAGAAGAGTATTGAGAATGCCAAGCAGGACCTGCTTCAGCTTAAGAATGTCATTAGCCAGACTGAGCATTCTTACAAAGAGCTGATGGCCCAAAATCAGCCCAAACTTTCTCTGCCCATCCGATTGCTCCCAGAGAAGGATGATGCTGGCCTTCCTCCCCCAAAGGTCATATGGGGTTGCCGGCTGCACAATTGTTTTGATTATTCTCGTTGCCCTCTCACCTCTGGTTTTCCAGTCTATGTTTATGACAGTGACCAGTTTGTCTTTGGCAGCTACCTGGATCCCTTGGTCAAGCAAGCTTTTCAGGCTACAGCACGAGCCAATGTTTATGTTACAGAAAATGCGGACATTGCCTGCCTTTATGTGATATTAGTGGGAGAAATGCAGGAGCCAGTAGTGCTGCGGCCTGCTGAACTTGAGAAGCAGTTGTATTCTCTACCACATTGGCGGACAGATGGACACAACCACGTTATCATTAATCTGTCACGGAAGTCAGATACACAGAATTTACTATATAATGTCAGCACAGGCCGTGCCATGGTGGCCCAGTCCACTTTCTATTCTGCCCAGTACAGACCTGGCTTTGACTTGGTAGTATCGCCACTAGTCCATGCCATGTCAGAGCCCAACTTCATGGAAATCCCACCACAGGTGCCAGTTAAGCGGAAATATCTCTTCACCTTCCAGGGTGAGAAGATTGAGTCACTGAGATCCAGCCTTCAGGAGGCCCGCTCCTTTGAAGAAGAAATGGAGGGTGACCCTCCAGCTGACTATGACGATCGTATCATTGCCACCCTAAAGGCTGTACAGGATAGCAAGCTAGATCAGGTCCTGGTAGAATTTACCTGCAAAAACCAGCCTAAACCCAGTCTGCCTACTGAGTGGGCACTGTGTGGGGAGCGGGAAGACCGCTTAGAATTACTGAAGCTCTCCACCTTTGCCCTCATTATCACTCCTGGGGACCCTCACTTGGTTATTTCATCTGGGTGTGCAACACGGCTCTTTGAAGCCCTGGAAGTCGGTGCTGTCCCAGTTGTGCTGGGGGAGCAAGTACAGCTTCCTTACCAGGACATGCTGCAGTGGAATGAGGCAGCCCTGGTGGTGCCCAAGCCACGTGTTACAGAGGTTCACTTCCTGTTACGAAGTCTCTCGGATAGTGACCTACTGGCTATGAGGCGGCAAGGCCGCTTTCTCTGGGAGACTTACTTCTCGACTGCTGACAGTATTTTTAATACCGTGCTGGCTATGGTTAGGACTCGCATACAGATCCCAGCTGCACCCATCCGGGAAGAGGCAGCAGCTGAGATCCCCCATCGGTCAGGCAAGGCGGCTGGAACTGATCCCAACATGGCTGACAACGGGGACCTGGACCTGGGGCCGGTAGAAACGGAGCCACCTTATGCCTCACCAAAATACCTCCGCAACTTTACTTTGACTGTCACTGACTTTTACCGCAGCTGGAACTCGGCTCCAGGGCCTTTCCATCTTTTCCCCCACACACCCTTTGACCCTGTGTTGCCCTCAGAGGCCAAATTCTTGGGCTCAGGGACTGGATTTCGGCCTATTGGTGGTGGATCTGGGGGTTCTGGCAAGGAGTTTCAGGCAGCACTTGGAGGCAATGTTCCACGAGAGCAGTTCACGGTAGTGATGTTGACTTATGAGCGGGAGGAAGTGCTTATGAACTCTTTAGAGAGATTGAATGGCCTCCCTTACCTGAATAAGGTAGTGGTGGTGTGGAATTCTCCCAAGCTACCATCAGAGGACCTTCTGTGGCCTGACATTGGCGTCCCCATCATGGTAATAGAAAAATGAGTTTCATTGCATGAGATACTATTACACTCTTAATCTCTTTTCCATATATATATATGTATGTGTGTGTATATATGGATGTATATATATACACACACATACTTTTTTTTTAACCTATACAGAATCTTTCCCTATGAAATTTCTGCTTGTTTCTTTTTCAGTTCTCTCAAGCCTTGCCAGTTCCCTCTCTTCTACTCACTTCCTAAATCTTCTAAGACTCTCCAAAACTGAAAGTGACAGTCGCCCCAGAAAGTTTACATAACCCCTTTAGTGACCTCATAGACTTCTTCTGTCTTATAATAAAGATGTTGATGATGAGAATTATGATGAAAAACTAACATTTAAGAAGCACTTACAATCTAAGCACTATAATTTAGCATTTATAGAACTTATATCATTATTATGATTTCTTTTTATATCTGTGGAAACTGAGGCTTAGAGAGGTTAATTATTTTGCCCAAGGTCATGATTAGTAATGGAGGAGCTGAGCTATAGTATGTCTGATTCCAGAAGCTGCAGTTTTAATCACCTCCCAAAGGATTTAGGAAGACCTATGTCATTCATTGACCAGGATATCATAGAAGTCTTTTGGAACACTGAAGTCAGGGTTTGATATTTGGGAGTTGGAGATCCTGAACCTTTTTTATAGTCTCTTGCAGGTTCTTATTCTTCATTCCATCTGTTATGGTTAGGATGCTGTATTTTGCAGGAAAAATAATAGCCAATTATGCAGGATGGGGCTTTAGTACTGAATACTTTGTCTATCCACTTTCTGATGTAAATTTGACAATCTGTGAGATTACCCATTTCTCTTAAATGTGAGGCCTTAGAGCAAGTCTTAAGCAAACTGCCAGCCACTTACCCTGCAGCACAGGTACTTTACAGAAAAAGGTAGCAAAGAAGGGCAAGGTCTGATGGGCCATGCATTGCTTAAGAAAATTAGCGTATTTTTTAGGAAGAATTTGTCTGGAAGGGGAATGTTTGGGCTAGACCAGTTTTTTAAAAAAAATTACTTCATTGAGGAACTAATTCATGCAAAATATTTTCTACACAGCAGCACGGCATAATAGAAAATTATGAGTTTGGGGGTGATACAGACCTGGGAATAAATAATCACTTTGTGAACTTTGATAAGTTACTTAACTTCTTTGACTTCAGGATTAAAGAGGAATCTAAGATAATACAAGTAAGGAATCTAGAAAGTTGCCCAATAATTGATTCCTACTTATCCCTTCATGTCAAAGGAGATGGAAGGCAGTATGGATATTCTGCCTGTGTTATGGACAGCTTTCACTAACTTTGCTGATAAAGGCTTCTTGTATCCTCTACATAATTTCCCTTTGTGTCATAGCTGTTCCTACTTACTTTCCCCTGTACAAATCTTTGTTTTAAATTTTCTTTCTTACTACTGTTGCTACTTGCTTACTACTGCTGCTAATCTTTTATTGTGTTTCATTTAATTGAATTTGTAATCTGAGGCTATTCAAAGACTATAGGGTTCCAAAAACTTTTGATCCCTGAATTTATCTTGTATACTAAGTAAAGTGTTGTAAAGGGAGAGGTTTCTTTATAGACTTCTTCCTAAGTAAATTTCACTTTTTTTCCTTCTCAATTACTTTTTGAATGTTATTGAAGTTAAAAAAAAAAAAAAAGCATTTGTTCTGTGAAAGGTAGATGCTGCTCAAGTAGAATAATGAAGCAGCCTTTGTTTTCCATTTTTCCTGAGTTTTCTTTGAATTTGGTAGGGATGTAGAGAAGCTGATGCCACCCTTATTAACAATGACTGAAATTCATCAGAGAAGTTACCAGAACTAATCTTTTCTTTTAACTCTGGTGGGAAATAAGTAGTCCTGTTTGATTACTGGGCAGCTCATTGCAGTAATACAATGCCTTGTTGGAAATTGCCGGAAACTTTCCAAATAGGAGGCCATTCTGAATAGCTTGCTCATATTAGTGATACAAGTTTTTTCTAGTTCTTCTGAAAAAGAGGAAACAGTTTCAAGTTGAAGAATTTTACTCCATTCTCTAATATTTTGACTATGCTTTCTATTTAAGAGAGACAGGTTTTTTGGGCAGCAGTTGAATTGCTGATCTATTGGGCGTAGAGCCAGCGCTTCCCGGGTATCAGGGTTAAGAGAGGCTGGCAGCTGTCTCCCCTGTGGAAAAATGACACTGTTATGAGACATCTCAGAGTAGTTTCTCCACCTAGGATGCAGACTTACCCTATCCATTACATTATAGTTAAAACGTCTTTATAAAATTAGCAGCAAGGTGAGGGTGGTTCCCAGGCAGTCTCTCAGATTCCAGTCCTTCAGGGAAAATGAATTAAGCATATTGGCTAAAACCCAGGAACCTACATGCCATTTCAGAAAATGCTGGGCAATTTGTGCTTCTCTTATGCTCAGGATCCCATCTAAGCCATAGGCATAAATGCTAGATATCTGTGGGCTATGAAATCTGTTGAGCCCTAAGTGTTTAAGTATAGAGGGATTCTTTTCAAAAAGGGGAAACTACGTCGGATCTGGCTTAGAGTAAATGTGATCTTCACTGCCACCATTCTTGGACACTTCTGCCCCAAATGCTTTATGTAAAGAATATCAGTTCAAATCGGCAGGGCCTGGGCAAGGTGACAGGACTCCACCCAGAGAGATGGAATAAATGCTACCAGTTGAACTAGATCTCTCATCTGAATGGTGTGGGACTCTGAACAGAGGTGGTGATGGTGGGCAACTCCTCTCTCTCTGTCTCTTGCCTGCTTTATAAACAGTTAAATCAGGTTCCTTAGCTCCTGGAGTGTAACAACAAAGAATATCTAATGGAAGTCAAATGTACAGAAGTATTGTGCCAAGGGATTTGAAGTCTAGTCTTTTGAAAACCTCCCCAAATACAGTGGGGACCACCACTTTCATGCATTTTCAAGATGTTCCACTGCTTGCAGGCCTCCATTGTTTCTGATGATATGTCAATAGTTTTTCAAATTTTTGTTTCCCTGTATGTAATGTGTTGTTTTTCTCTGGCTGCTTTCAAGATTTTTTTCTTTTCTTTTTTTTTTTTTTTTTAAAGATTTTATTTATTTATTTATTTTCCCCCAAAGCCCCAGTAGATAGTTGTATGTCATAGCTGCACATCCTTCTAGTTGCTGTATGTGGGACGCGGCCTCAGCATGGCCGGAGAAGTGGTGTGTCGGTGCGCGCCCGGGATCTGAACCCCGGGCCGCCAGCAGCGGAGCGCGCGCACTTAACCGCTAAGCCACGGGGCCGGCCCAAGATTTTTTTCTTTATATTTGGTTTTCAGCAGTTCAACTGTGATATGCCTTGGCTTGGTTTTCTTTGATTTGTAGTCTGATTAGGGTTCACTAAGCTCCTTAAATCTATCAGGTTGTTTTTCATCATATTCTGGGAAGTTTTTATTCATTATTCAGATATTTTTTATGTCCCATTTTTTTCCCTCCTCTGCTGTGGGGACTCCATTATATGTATATTAGATGTTTTGATATTGTCCCACAGTTCTCAGTGGCTCTGTTCATTTTTCCTAATATTTTTTTCTCTTCTTCAGTTTTCATAATTTTTTTTGTGTGTGTGTGAGGAAGATCAGCCCTGAGCTAACATCTGCCAGTCCTCCTCTTTTTTTTTGCTGAGGAAGACTGGCCCTGGGCTAACATCCTTGCCCATCTTCCTCCACTTTATATGGGACACTGCCACAGCATGGCCTGACAAGCGGTACGTCGGTGCATACCCAGGATCCGAACCGGTGAACCCCGGGCCGCCGCAGCAGAGCATGCGCACTTAACTACTTGTGCCACCAGGCCGGCCCCTTGATAGTTTTTTTGATCTATCAAGTTCACTGACTTTTGCGTCTATTCTTAAGCTTATCCAGTCAATTTTAAATTTCAGATATTTTATTTTCCAGTTCCTGAATTTCCATGTTTTTTAAAATAATTGTTTCTGTTTCTCTGCTGAGATTTCCTGTCTCTTTTTTTTTCCACTCTGAGTATACTTTACTTCATTGAGCATATGAAGTATGCTAGCTACTTTAGCATAGCTACTTTATGATAGCTACTTTAACATTTTTGTCTGCTAATTTCAACATATGGGTCATTTTGGGATTTGATTGATTTTCTTTTTTCTTGAGGACTGGGTCATGTGTTTCTGGTTCTTGGTGCATCAAACAATTTTGTATTAAACCCTACACATTGTGAATGTTATGTTATGAAGACTGGATTTTGTTCTATTTCTCTGAAAAGTGTTGATATTTTAATTTTAGCAGGCAATTAATCTGGTTGGACTCAAACTGTAAGCTCTGTCTCTTGAGTGGCAACTCAAATGTGAGTTCAGTCCTTGTAATATTTAGCTGGTCTGCTTACAAACAGTACCAGCTATGCCTGGTTTAGGGGTGGGCCAGAGGCTAGGCAGTTTATACACAGAACTTGGAGCTCCCCCTAACTATCTCTCTTTTTTCTGGAATCTTCTTTCTTTCCGGGGTCTGTGGTTGCCCCAGACTCTTTCCTCTTATTCTTCAGGCCAGAAAGACTTGGGCAGTGTGTGCAAGTTTAAGCTATATTGCATGGTACTGACTCTGGCCTACTCTCAGAATAAAAGTAACAGTGATTCTCCCCTTGTTGGTAATTCGTTTCTAAATATCAGCTCCCCTCCGTAATTTGTTCTGCCTTCAGGTAATTGCTTTTTTGGTATTTTTGTCTGGAGTTTATAGTTACCATCTACAGGAGGATTGGGTCTGGTAGGAGCTTATTCAGCCATCCTGGAGGCAGAAACCTCCAAGTGATCTCTTTTTGATACATAGTCCCACCTAAGCTTTTGGTTTGAGTTATTACTTTGTTCTGACTAGTTAACACATTGTCTTCACTCTGCTTTATATTCTGGAAAATAGTAATAAATAGAGTGGCTTTGTTGGAGCATTCCGTGGAAATGAGAACGTCAAAATCTATTCTTTGGGAATTTTAAAACTTGGGCTATTATGAAGGGGACATC